AGAGCACTAGTGTTACACAGCAGAAACCTGTACCATGTGTGTGATGTGCACTCTGCTTGCACAAAAGCTTGTATGCCTGTGTGTTTTTGCCCAGTGAGCCCACCGCATTTGGAGGGGACATGGACATTTAGCTTTGCAGCTTTCCCTAGGTCAAGCAAACCACTTGCAACAAGTAACGGTCAAGAAACGTGTTCAAGTTGTTGAGTTAGGAAAGGATGAGACAGAGAAAGGAAAAAAGGTCATGTCCAAAGCTTTGCCTATAATTTTGGTCATTATCATGTCTGTTACCTTTTAAATTCAAAATGCTCAAAATCCTTTTTTTATTTTACAAAGTGTTAACAATGAGCATATCTCTAAAAGAAATCGTTTCTCTTTTTAAAATTTTTTATTATTATACTTTAAGTTTTGAGATACATGTACAGAACAGGCAGGTTTGTTACATAGGTATACAGGTGACCTGGGGGTTTCCTGCATCCATCAACCCGTCATCTACATTAGGTATTTCTAATCTCCCCTAGCTCCCCACCCTCCAATGGGCTCCTATGTGTGATGTTCCCCTTCCTGTGTCCATGTGTTCTCGTTGTTCAACTCCCACTTATGACTCAGAACATGGCAGTATTTGGTTTTCTGTTCTTGTGTTAGTTTGCTGAGAATGATGGTTTCCAGCTTCATCTATGTCCATGCAAAGGACATGAGCTCATCCTTTTTTATGGCTATATAGTATTCCATGGTGTATGTGTGCCACATTTTTTAATGCAGTCTATTATTGATGGACATTTGGGTTGGTTCCAAGTCTTTGCTATTGTGAATAGTGCCACAATAAACATACATGTGCATGTGTCCTTATAATAAAATGATTTATAATCCTTTGGGGATATACCCAGTAATAAGATTGCTGGGTCAAAGGATTGAGAATCAAGGTGCTTTATGAACTCTTTTGCCATCTAGGTAGGTTGACAGGCAATCTTACTCTCCCCAGTTCATGGATATGAGATGATTAAAAAAAATAAGCAGTGGGCTGGAGCCCCAAACTATAACAAACAAACAAAACAATGAAATATTAATATCTACAAAATTCCACGCAGTTTTCCTAAAGCCTTTTCCCACATCTTAATTCACAGTTCCCTTGAAATGGCAATTTAGATAAACCAGCACTTGCACGTAAAAAGAGAAGCTCTAAGAGCTTCAATAAAAGGGATTGATAAGGAGAAGAGAGATGAGTAGTATTCTGTGCATTGAGAAGCTAAACACCCAAAGGGCTGGGCACAGCTCTAGCTGGGCAGCCCCTCGCAGCTCAACTCCACAGAATCCTCTGTTGGGCAGACCTTATCATAAACGTGGATTAAGGACCAAGGGCTACAAGGTAAATTGACAGACCAAAAAGACTCCAGCACAGCTTTTGTGATTATAAAAAGAGAAATCGTAGTCTGATTTCTGAGGCTAGTGACAGTTTAACTTAGTGGACTCTCTATGTAAGGAGTAAAGGCTTGGGGTTAAAAGAAATTTTTTAACTTCATAAAGTAGGTTAAAGAAGACATTACATTTCTCACTTGCAGTTTTTGCACATGGTGAATTTATTAGTTGACAGATCTAAGTAGAATGCAAAAGAAAATACCCTGACACTTGTGTAACCCACTGAATTGTTTTTGCTCTTGAACTTCGCCCTTTGTTAGATTAATAATAAGTTGTGACACAGGCTCATAAACTTGAAGTGGATTTTACCATCTTTTCACATCTTATATTAGCACTATCACCTTCTTACAATGATTTCCTCGTTATAACAATTTCCTCCTATATTGGGACACTCCTTTGGACAGCATTACCTCATAAATAAGTCATTTTGATATTTCAAGAATAAAACCCCTTTGGATAGAGTCCAAGAGCTGCTATCACTTTAAAACAAATGGCTGTTGGTGACAAATAATATATTAAGACTCTTGCGTGTTTTAACTTAGGTTCTGAAGACTTAAATGTCAGAATCCTAAACTAAGACACATGTGCTTTTTTGCTATTTCCCATCTCTGAGTATTACAAGACAGGATATTTTGACAGTGTTTTTACATTTATGCTTCACACAAACAAGGCGCAATTGCACATTTTATCACCACACAAAATAAACCTAGGTAAACATCCCTTTCTTCCAGTATTGCATGCTGTGATTTGGCTATGAGGCATTATTTTTTGCCTCTTTAGTCCTGTTTTGTAAGTTGTGTTTTAACTAAACTTTTTTTTCCCTAGAGTTAGTGATCAATTAGATGCCTCTTTACCCTGCACAATTAGAGAGGATTGCCCTCTCTGTGTATCCTTCCTAATTCCTAAGCCCAGAACCTCCACAACTAGAAACAATTCTTTTTTCTTAATTTTGAGACAGGAGATATTGAGAACGTGCAGATAGTCAGTAAAAGGCCTCCCAAAAGTATGCTCTTTTTAGAACACACTTACCATCAGCATGGTACACATCTACCTGATTATTTCTTATCTAAACAAAACTCTGGTGAGGATTTTTTTGTTTGCTTTGGTTTGATTGGGTTTTTGCTTTTTCTGTCTCACAAAAACCAAGTGTTCTCCAGCAATGAGGCAACGGAAAAAATCAATACTTGCCATGTACCATGTAACCAATAGAATAAGGGGAATGATTTATGTATGGTTGGATGCAGCCTGAATCAGCTGGGGCCTCGTACAGAGAGCAAGAAAAAGAGAGAGGAAGAGACACACAGAGAGAAAGAGAGAGAAAACAGGGGGAGATAGCAAGGAGCTCAACTGCAGTGATTATTTCTACAGAGTGGCCAGATTTTTTTTTCTGCAGCAATAATCCCCCTTTCCGGCACTACAGGACATAGGGAAAGCCTGCAATTTGTGGAATATCTGATGGCTCAGCTTTCCCCTCCTTTCCTCAGAGTCATGATGCCATGTTCATATTAAGGTACACTGAGAAGGGGAGAATGATGTATGGCCTGCAGTCCTTCAGCCTTCCAGTCATCTCCACCCTAAGAAAGGCTAGTGATGAGTCGGCAAGCATTAGTTGACAGAGAGTCAAATTATCAACAGGATTTAAAAAAATAAATAAAGCGCTCCAGCAATGCTTCCTAAGAAGACCAGCGGGAAGGGCTTACAGACAAGAACTACTCTATATCCCAGGAGTTTCTGCTGGAAATACAGTTTGGTTAACTGGAAATCCAGCGCGCTGCAGCATTTAAAGGTATTTCATCCTGAAGGTAACTTTCAAGGTAGCTGATAATCTTACTCAAAGCTTAGATATGAACTGTAAGTTATGTGCTTGTGGTGGGGAGGTACAAATAGAAAGCCCCAAACCCAGCTACTTCAGAGCTGGATACCTGGTACTATTGTACATTAAATTCTAGTAGTTGTGACTTTAAACTGGGTTAATCGTCTGCTTCAGGATGGCATAATATGTATGGATATATTATGTATAACATAATAGTTTATAAAATTCCTACTCCCTGCTTCAACCCAGGACAAACCTTGCAGGACTTGATGAGAGGCAAATTTGACCATTTCTTTGGAATATCTTTGTTTCCTATGATGTATTTAAATTGATCTAAATTTGTTTTCATGAGTTACCTCCTTTATACATTGTGCTTAAAAATATAAAAAGGTTGACAGCATTTCATTTCCATCAGTCTGTTGAAGACTGAATTATATCCTTTTATGAGGAACACTGATGCCATATAATTTTTTATGATGTTTTCACATCCCTTAACCTAGACAAAGTATTAACACCACAGTTTGATATTCCGCTAAAATATCCTATATTCTCCATATGATTCATTACACCACACGTAATACATGGAAAGATATTTTAAATACCGAGTATGTCAGAATAATGCCATGCCGTTAATTTTTGTTTAATTTGGAGCTGGTAGTGTTAACACTCATATACTGTTAAAACAGTTTTTCCCCCTTCGGTTGAAAGTGTCTATTCAACCCAATATTATCATAAACTTTCTTGATAAAATGCCATATAATTTTTAAAATTTCTATGTTTACCTTATATAAATTATATTAAACTCTGCTGACAAAATAACATGCTGTTTTAAAGTATGTAATGTTAACCCTATAAAAATTATCTTGAACTGTCTTAACCAAATTCCATATTGGTTTTTAAATATGTACATTCAGAGTGTACCGGATGGTAATTATTGGCATTTTTCCACACATATATTTATCATCTAATTTTTGCTTCCATTTACATCATAATTATTTTTGTGATTCTAACATACTGTATTTAGCTCCTCAGTTACACCGCAGAGTTTGCGGAATTATTTTGTAGTTAAGTTTGCACACATAGAATAAAAGATTAAAAATAAAGTGCAGCTAGCTAGAAAAATATAAAAAACTATTCTCAGTAGGCCTTGTCTTTTAAGTTACTCATCACACTTTAATATCGTTTTTCTAGATGTCATTGAAGAGCAGTTAGGTTGAAGTTTTATTAGTTATAAATCAGTAAATACTCTCATGTCTGCACTTAAATATCTAGTCATTGAGAGATTTGATCTATCCTATTCCTTACAAAAATATTTTGGGAAGATTTCTATGTAAAAAAAACTTCATAAATATATATAATTTTTTTCCTCTGAACAAAATTGAGAACAATAAAAATGTAGCCCATAAGTAAACTGTACATAATGAAATAGCTTTCCATAATTATAATACATAACTGATTATCTAAATCAATAGAAATTATGCATAATCATTTTAAATGGGGGAGACCAGCCAGATATCTGCTGCCTCTCTCTATGTAAGGAAAGATTAGAACTGTTTTTTACATTTTGATCTTGATCATCATTCTCCCTTTCATTCTTCTATTGGCCCAAACAGGTAAAACAACAGAAACCCATTACCATCTCTACTTTTGGTTCCATTGCCTCAGCCAAGCTATCCAGGTGAGGGTTAATAAACAGAGAACACTGGGAAAGGGTCCAAATAAAGTGAGAACTGTAAAGACAAAGCCCAATTCTGCAAACGCCTCAGCCAGAAAGAACGCTCTTAACACCCTACAAGCAGGTATGTGCTTACCAGCAAACTAAAGTAAATGGAAATTAAGAAGCATATTCACCACCAGCAAGGTGCTGCTGACCTACAAGGTAAGTACAACTAGGACCTTATTGTAGATGTATTTTTAGAGATATGTCGCTGCCGCTTAAGAAAAACCGTTATCTATAGCAGAGAAAAAAGCTTAAAAGCCTACCAAAGGCCATGGAGAGTGTTCAATGAGTCTAGCCAAGTTCATTATATTATTAGATATAGGCCTTCCAACCACAGGTACCTGGGGTAACACTTGGTACTAACAATTCTTGCCTTAACAATATCAGAATCACACCAAATGAGTGATAAACGAACTGTAGGGACCAGATGGGTAAATAAGAAGCCCAAGAGCTGGATTTCATTATTAGTTAACAGAATTCCAACACATGTCCCTTCGTTTAAAAAGTTTGTTTCTACTAAATGTAAACTTCCCGAGTTCTAATGAAAGCTGACAATGCTCCCTAGTATGAGATTAATTTCCTGTCAACATCTGGAGTTAAAATTCATAGGTTCATTGGTTCATGGATGAAACTCATGTTGGCATCTTTCGCTGTGACAGAGAAACATATCTTCTCATTGTAAGCAAGGATCTTTGGTGAATGCCTACTACGGTTTTATATTATCCTTCATCAGTAGTTAAAATTTCACTGATGAAATACCCATTAAAGAGAAAATCAATGTCTGAGCTTAACCACCTGCTTTGTTTTAGCACCACAAATTATTTTAAAAACTGATTAACGTAAGTAACTGGCTATTTAAGAACTATAGCAAATAGTGTTTCATATTGCTATTCTGGCAAGCAAAAAACGGTTGACATACAGTTCTTTGCTCAATAATTAATCCACTTAAGACAAATAAATGAAAGAATGATCAAAAAATTCACATTTTAAAGACTAACTTCATCTTCGTATAATGAATAAAAATGAAAACATTCTCATGTTAAACATAAAATATTATTATTTTTAAATATGTCTGCTTCTACCTAAGAGATAATTGTAGGTTTCAATAAAAGAACTATTTCTCACTCTATGTCTTTTTTCTGCAATTAGTCTATAGTACCCACAGCATCATGGATTAGTCTAGTTTAATCTGAACATAATTGGATAGCAACTTCTATTTTCTAATCTAAACAAGCTCACGTTAAAAATACATAGAACTTGGATTCTATTTAACAGAAAGGCTAAATAAGGAGTACAAAATATGACAACACATTTCTGTATTATTAAAATATCATTACCTGTATTTTACAGACCTTGCCAAGGCGTGAAAGCACAGGCAACAGTCTACTGAAAATATTAAAAAGATGTATGTCCAGACCAACACTTCATCTGGGTCCCCTGATAGCATGAGGTTCTTTGGCCCTCGTCCTAGATGTTTGCATTTGCATCTTTATAGATTATAAGGAGGTATAGATCCTTCCGTCTCTCACAAAGCTGTCCAATTCTCGCCACTACTTAGAATGGTTTTACTATATGGGCTGCCTCATTTATGCAAGCAGAATTTTCTCTCATAAGTTCTAAATGAGAATACATCTTCCCTCCCTACCCCCAGGGAATAATCCAAAAGATGGGAGGTTCTTAATAGAACAATTAATTGTGATAAATTTCTGATTTTTGCTCCTTCATCCAGGGCTATTTCCATGGCAACATCCTCTCATCCTTTGTTGGGTTGTTCTTCATTCACACAGCAGGTTAAGCCCAGGGCAGCCAGGGCAGGCTGATGGTCAGCTTTTATTTTCTCTGGCCCTGCAACAAAGGTTAGTTGAGGTCACCAGAAGCCAAAGGGTAATTACTTTTCCTCCTCAGGGTTAAAGGTACACAGATTGCTATTGGGACAACTGTATGGATGACCTTCAGCTTTTAATGTTCAATCTTCTTTTCTTTCATCAGAGAATGAATAAGTATAACAATCATGATGTAACCCTCATGCCTAAAATTCCAAGTAGAAAGCCATTTTTTATTTTGTAAAATTACTATAAATTAGCATAATATACTCTTGAAATCAATTTGGAAAACCCAAGGCAAAAAAAGGTTTCCTATCACTTAAATTAAAAAAAAATCCGTGGCAGAAAACTGCAGCTGTTCACTGGTTTTCCTGTTCAATTACTCTGATACTCATGATTTCCCAGGCTTCAATCATTTCCTGAGGGTGTTAAGGCTAAGAAGAAAATGGAAGTTTTCCTGGCTCCACTTGGGGCTCTATTTTTTTCCCTTCAAACATGTGTTGTGGCCTTAGCCCCCTAAACTGACTAAGAATATGTTAGATTAAAATGAATTTTCTCTCTTTGCTTCTCTATTCTCAGAGAAAGACAGCCTCTAAAATAATTGGAAGAGGTGAGTGGAATCTTTTGAGATCAAATGCTTAAAACACATTGCCCCACTCATTTGAAGAGCCACTTTTAGATTTCAGTTCTCCATTTCAATCTAGAATTTTAAAGGAGTAATTGGTTCCAAAAATGGAGCCAGACATCAACCAGAATATATTTGTCATTGTTCTACTACCAAGCAAAAGACTTTCAGCTCCCTGGATGGGATGGGTTTCCTAATGGTTCATCTCAAAGAAAGATGCACAGAAGGGAGACCGAGCACCTTCTGCAGGGAGGGGCAAGGGTCATCTGAAAGGACCACCTGACCCACTCTGCAGTCTGACCCAGAGGGGACCATCCCTCTGAGTCTCTTCATGTTTATCCAAGAAATTGCCTAGATGAGGGAAATGAGAGCAGACCCTGCACACCCACCCTGAAAGAGGTGGAGACATTATTTTTGCCTACTTTCTCAGACTCACCTGTGTATGGCTGGAGATCAACCAGACACTATATCCCTCCAGTCCCCTATCTTTCTCAACAGCCCTCACTCAGCTGTCTGTCCAGTGTCACTTTCACATCATATGGAGTCATCCTGCCCAGGAGCTTACTGGGAACCCTCCAGATCCACACCAAGGCTGCCCCTACAGATTGCTTCATCAGCTGCTCCCTCCACCTGGCTTGAACTCCATGCCCCCATCCTCACCCCTTTGGCTACTCTGCCTTTGTCAAGTAGCCTGTAGCTTCTCGTGTGTTGCTTCCCCATCCCTGAGCTTATGCCATCCCCGCTAAATGGCAATTTTCTCTTTTAATACCTGCCTCTTCGAAAGGTTGGTTTACAATCCACTTCCTTCAGAAGTTCCTCCACTTTTATTCTCTGCTATATCTAATAAATTAAACAGATACATGTAATAAATATGCATATACACTGAAGCTATAGAAAATGCATCTAAATATCTGAATCCTATTGAATAGCAACTTTTAAAAAAAACCCAATGCCTTAAATTACTCCCATTTACAAATTCTGGGGCCTCTTACAACACTACTCTCTACATATTTTACATACAAGAACTAGTTGGTATTCATCTTGGCAAGTTTTATTTCTTTCACTGTATTTTTTTATTGTCCCTTCTACATCTCTACAAAGTCTTCCTCTGTGAGCAAAATACTTTGGCATCGTTGTATCACAATCTCCCCAAATTGTCTCCTTTTTGCTCTCAATTGACCATCAATTAGTATCTGCTGAATTGTTAATTCATGTTTAAGGAGCTAACAGAAAACAAGGTATGATCACTCAGCTATATCTCATGTTAGAAGGGATTTCAGTACAATTATGGATGTGGATGGTAGGTGATGGAGATAATATTTGGAAAAGGATAAGAAACTGAAAGAGGCATATATGTCAGGGTCTGGCATGTGATCTGGTTGCATATTACCAGGTGAGGAGGGGAAGATCTAGCACTGCCCACAGCTGGTTGGCAGCAATGGCCCATGGTAAAAGAAATTGCTCTTTCCTCAATCACAGACCAAAGTCAAAGGGACCAGTTAGGTCTCTGCTCAGAGTTCTCTGACCAGGGGCATTTCATGAAAGCAGGGCTGGCAGCTCTTAAAATTGGCTCTAAGCTGGTTAGCTTGAGCTTCACAAAGTGTTAGGGAGAGTGATGGAGTCATACAAGGTAAACTTTAAGAAAGTTATTCTTTTCCTTTCTGCAAAGTCCACCCCCTTTTCCAATCTCCACCCCATCATCCCTACATGCTCCAGTCCCCCAGAGTCCCATCTCACAATGAGACTTTAATGTCAATAGGCCATATTTCCCCAGATCGGCTAAGAAAGATGCCTGGATGAAATATTTAGTCATAAGCAATATATTTCAGGCATTTCAATGAGAGAGAGATTTAGGAATAACTATTAATTTTACATTGCTACAAAAGTAATTGCTGTTTTTGTCATTAAGAGCAATGGCAAAAATTACCTTCCTGGAATTTTCCCAGATCACCCTATGAGTTGCTCTTCAAGTAACCAACAAATTAAAAGCATAGTATCTGGGATTTATTAGGTCAAAGCATCCAGCAACACAACAGGTTGAATATTTTCACTCATTTCAAAATGTACACAAACATTCTTCCCTTTAGGCAAGAGATTCGACCATTTGCCCTTGGCTGCATCTATTTTTTAAAGCTCCTTTATTTTCCCTTGAAATCCAGAGGCGTTGAGTTCTGTCTCCATAGTAAGCTTCTCTCTTTCCTATTTTGTAGTAAAAGTGTTACTGGAAAGTTTAACATAGAGGTATTTTCACAATTGCAATTTATTCTTCCTTATATGCCAAAAATAGATGTGACTTGTCATCCCTTCTGATCGCTGTCTTCACATGTAGAATGTAAAGCTGTCTCCTAAGGAGCCCAAGAACCTTCTTTATCAGTTGTTAGGTGGTTACAGAAAGTGAGAGAGAAGTGGCATGGGCCAGAGCATCAGGCCCCAGTGCCAAATAAGTGATAAGTGTTCAGTTCCTGGCATCTCTGTCCTAAAGCTTGGGCTCTTCCAAGGCTAACATAGAATGGGACTTGGGAAGAAAACTTGTAGCACAGTGCTGCTAAAATTTTTGCATACAGAAGAAATACAGATTTATTGACCTCACCACTAGAGATGCTGAATCAGTAGCTGGGACCACAGGCACATGCCACCATGCCTGGCTAATTTAAAATTTGTTGTCAAGACAGGGCCTCACTACTTTGTTCAACCTGGTCTCAAACTCCTGG